GCCCAAATAAGATCGGACAAGGAAAATTTTAGAAAAATTGATAGAATTGTCTAACCTTGAAACTGTTAAAATAATAGTTGGAACGATTGAACAAGGATTTACTAATTACTCCATGATGCTCATTAAAAATAAATATATATAATCTATCGAAATCAGCTAGATCTTGATCATGTGTCAAATCATTAGTGGTTGCACTCATAGTGATTGAGTTTTGGGTGGATCGAGCGAACCATAAGAGTGCAACAATCTAATATTTCCTAAAATTGTCTGCAAATAGCAACATAAAAAGATAAAGGTCAGCCTATAAAACACGACACACACGCCCAATATTCGCTCCACGATTCAAGAAATGGATCTAATGCTCGTCCTATGTAAATAATCAATTTTATGCAGCGGGGAATTCCTATATGTTCTATCCTGACTATGTATCCTAAGTTCATATAAAAAAAAAAAAAAGACTATGTATCCTAAGTATAGAAGACGCTCCAGCCTTTTCCAAATATCTCAGTCCCGGTGAATCATTCTCTAATGACATTACAGATCATCAACTTGAACAACCAAAAATCTGTAAAATGTAACAATGCACGAACAAGGGTTGACCGTCGACCCTTGAGCAGACGAGTTATTCTACATGTACAGGGTGGAGGTTCCGACAACTCACATAGGGGGTGGATAATTTTTTTTATTTTTTTATTGGGGTGGTCCCACGCAGGACCCACCTCTATGTGTGTCGGTGGGAGGTTCTACCCCGTACATGCAGAACACACAGGACCCACTTCTATGCAAGTTATCGGTGGAGGTTCTACAATGTACGTGCAAAACAATTCTGAGCAGGCGCATATATATATCGAGGTCCTATTTGTTTTAGATTAAAATCAAATTTTAATCTAAATTAAAGTCAAACAATCAATATTAATCACATATTTTATGGGTCACATAGCTTTTTAATCACACATTTCAAAAACTTCTATCGCAATCTAATGAAAATCTAATTTTAATCTCCATCAAACACTCACTAAGCCCCAGTTTGGTATAAATTAAAATTTATATTTTAATTAAAGTCATCAATTAATTTTAATCACACATTTTAAGGGATTTACAACTTTTCAATCACACATTTCATCATATTTTATCAAAATATACTAAAATTTTGATTTTAATCCCACCAAACACGAGCTAAAATCAAAACATTCGGAAATAAATCTCAGATCTTGAAGTAGTTCTGTTTTTTACTTTTACAAAATTAATTAATTACTTACTGACAAAAAAATTATAAAATCCCTGTAAACTTACTGAAGACAATGAAATGGTTTGGTGGGTACAGTGGCATTGTCGGGCAAAAGTGAAAAAATTGGGTACAACTTCGTAGTCACCTAACGAAGGCGTGATTGACGTTCAAAAAGCCTATATCTATTGACTGTCGCAAGCTGGATCTTGCCAAGGAAAAATTGCAGCTTTGGTCCCTAACTTATAATAGCCTTTCTCACTTAAACTTTCAACTTTTTCTCACTGTAGCACTTATAATTCTGATCGTCAGCCCACAATTGATTAGTGCATCTCGTTCTTGATTATGCTTTCTGAAAAAAGGAAAAACATATTTCTACCGTTTGTATTTATTAAATAATATGATGGACATACGTCTTTTTGCACATTTTAACAATTTTATTTTGGATGAAAAGTATTATCAGACATGAAATACGTTAATTTGTGGAGATTTGAGGATAATGATACGATAAAAGAAGATTAGATATATAAGTGTATGATGAGTAAATATGAAAAAACTTTAAGCCCCGGTTTGAGCCACATTAAAATTTTCATTTTCGTTCTTCTACTCATTTTCAATTACACATTATTCAATAAAATAATATTTTCATCACATCGATAACTTTTCATTCTTTTTCAATCACTCATTCTCCATCAATCTACTATTCCAAAATATATTTTTTCAAAATAATGTGACTCAAACACACCTTAAATGTAATTATAATGTGATGCTACAAATAAAATCCATAGAATATAATTATCGTCGAAGTTATGATTGGAGATCGACCTTGCAATTTTCTCTCTCTTTTGCAATAAGTGCACGATGAAAACATTTTAATATTGTTTTGGAAGTAGGAAAAGAAACAAACATCTTTTGAGAATGAGGAAGCTTCGGTTTTACTCTTTAGAAAGAGTAATAAGTCACAGAAAGCGACGCCCCACCTACCATCACCACCCGATTCCCCAACTCACTTATTAAATCCATATTTGTCTATCATTATTTTAAAAAGTTTTTTTTGTCACAGTAAGATTCTCCATCACACATTCACTCACTAAAATATTCTACGCACAAAACAATAAAGTTATTTTAAATTTCAACCACACATTCTCCCAAAAAATACTATTCATTATTCTATTTTTCTCCCAATAATGAAAGACAGACACACCATAAGTCCATGTTGGTAAAGATTAAAATCAGATTTTTAGTAAATTTTAATAAAATTTGATGAAATGTATGGTTGAAAAGTTGTGGGTCCCTTGATATGTGTGATTAAAACTAATTGTTGACTTTGTCTTGAAATTTTAATTGGATTTTAATACATACCAAACAATGGCGAATTAATGGGAGAATAGCATATTAGGCCCCAATCTTTCAAACCATTGCAAACTATACCTAAACCTTTCATTTTTACAGTTGGAAGACCAAACCTTTTATTTTGATTGTGAAAGACAAACTCTTTGATTGACCATAAAAAAATAAAAAAATTAATGGGAGAATAGCATATTAGGGCCCCAATCTTTCAAACCATTGCAAACTCTACCTAAACCTTTCATTTTTACAGTTGGAAGACCAAACCTTTTATTTTGATTGTGAAAGACAAACTCATTGATTGACCATTAAAAAAAAAAGACCTATTTTGAACAGTTAAGTGAAGGGTAAAATTGCAACTTTACATTTTTTCAAAAAAAGATTAAAATCATTAAATTAAATTAAAAATAAAAAAGAAAAGAGAAATATGCACCCCCACCCACATTCATGCATCCATCCATCCACTTCATCTTCCCCCAAATAAAATAGAAAAGAAAAGAAAATTCCATCGTCTTCACCCTCACCCAGGTGGAAGAAATTTTTGCACACTGCTGACCGTGGAAGTGAAGATTGGGGCCTTGCAACTGCTAATGAATTCATACCCATACCTCGACTTTGGTTCGATTTCCGGTACAAATTTCCAGTAATTTTTTTTCATGAAGATGTATGAAATTTGATCACCCATCATCTTTATGTTTCTTGTTGATGTTGAAGAGAGAAGGCAAAGATAGAGCATAAGGGAAAGGCGGCTGTAATTGTTGGAGCTCAACTTCAACCAAAACTAACTGAACTTAATCAAAATCAACACCAATAATTTAATGTACTAAACTGGGATTCAATAACCCAGCTGCCATTGTATTGAAATTACACCAAAACAACAAAATATAAACTGAAAAGAGAAACTGAAATGCAGAGAATGTGAAGAGGGGAGATTCAGTGAAGATGAGAAGAAGAACAATCGAGAAGAAAAAGAGGAAGCAGGAGAATCGGTGAAGAAGACAGCAAAAGGGAAGAAGAAGAGGAAGAACAGAATGGTGAAAGAAGAACAGAGAAGAAGGAGAAAGAAAGGCAAGAGACGGGTTTGTAACCACATTCAATTCATCCATATCCCGTTTACAAAGTTTTAATACAACCTATATAGACCAAAACAATAAAGGGCTTTGGGTTAGCTCACAATAAAACAAGCCCAACTAGATAAAAGCAGATAGGCCAATCAATATATACCAAGTTAGTGTTAAGGGATACAATTTCACATCGAATAAAGATGTAAACATAAATCAACTTATAAAGAATTCGGTTACTACTTTTAATAAGGTTGAACTTTTAAGATGAAACCTCAATTCTTAACATGGTATCAGAGCCCATTAAACTCTAACGAGCAATTCGATCAGGTTAAGACTCCAAAAGTGAGCATACGGATTTTAAGATTGGTCTGCTCAAATGAGTCACCATCTTGCGGGGCATCTTAAGGGATAGAATCTCATATCGAATAAAGATATAAACATAAACCAACTTATAAAGAATTGAGTTACTCATCTTAATAAAGTTGACCTTTTAAGATGGAAACCAAATTCTTAACAGTTAGCCCATGACATCACTTCCCCTTAAATTAACTTAGTCTCAAGGTTTAAAGTCGGGATGTTTTTTTTGTATGTTGTTAGTAGCTGTCTCATTCTCTTCACCACCCTTGGATTAAGTAGGTAATGCAAGGGGGCATATACCTCATTCATTTCATCTTCTTGGACCTAATTCTGAACTGTGTACTCATCTGAATCATCCTTTAGCTTTAGCTAAACTATTGGATCTGTTTCATCCAGTTCCATACTATAGTGATCATCAACTGAACTGAATCAAAAATAATATACATTAGGCAGCATGGAAAGCAATGCACTCAGAGCTTCCTTCATATGGTCGACACAGCACGCATTCCAAATCAAAACTTATCCAGTGTCTAAATATCGCCAACCAGCCCTATGAACTTTTGTTGGAATTGACTTGTACCCAATTGAAACTAAGCGCAATCAATTTTAGCATTAGGCCACAATAGTTGTGCTTATCGTACAGTAAAATTAGTAGGATTATTTGCTACAATAGCTCCATCTTGCCAGCGATATACACCACCAATGTAATCATCTAGATAATATGATGATGTAGATGATGCTCTTATAGCTTGCCATATGTGATGCTTACAACTCTCAATGGAAGCACCAATGGGCTTTTTGGTACCACTTTTTGTTTGAGGATCGACAAGGAACTTTTCTAGGCAATAAACAAATTTCGTTCCATTGAAAGTGTCACCACCAATTTCGACACATGTTAATTGTCCAAGGCTGACGACAGTAGTTTAAAAAATCGCTTCATAAGTTAGTGTGCCAGATCGTGAGATAATTCCAATATGTCCTGGTTTGTGAATGTATTCAGGCATAATTCAAATCTTACACTCCCCAGGCTTGATAATTCCAGGACAATTTGGACCTATGAGCTGAGTTTTTGACTGCTTGTTGAGGTCAACCTTGATAAGAACCATGTCATGCTGAGGTATTCCCTCAGTGATGCAAATAACCAAATCTAGCTCAGCCTCCCTTGCCTCCATAATAGTTTAACTGTAAAAAGGAGAAGGAGCACAAATTACTGTTGCATCACCCTTTGTTTCAGCTTTTGCCTTCAGATCTTCATCTCCATTGTACTCTAGTAGTCGTTCAAGTGGAGCTTCCCTAGAAAAAACCACATTCCCATTGCTTTCCCCCTCAACCTTCAGTGTAATTATAACTTCAATCTCATTTTCATGATAAATACAACTACTAAGAGTTGGATCTCCAGTTTCCTCAGTTTCCATTTCCATGTCTTCTTTCTCAGCATTGTTTTCAACAAATCGTCTACAACCCTCAATTGAAAACATGTCTCAATCAGCATTGGGATGGTTGAAGATGAAGCCATAAAACCATATGTACACTTTCCCCTTCAAATACATCTAAGTTATTCCCACCCTTATTTCATTAGCTACTTGATGTATCTGAAAATATTTTTGAGCTTCCCTCAACCATTCTCTGGGACTTTCTCCATTAAAATAAGGGAAGTCTATCTTGGGTAGTTTGGTAACCATCCCAGCCTCTTTGTTTTCTGTGGAGATACCGAAGGAATTTTCATTTTTGTAAGGATACCCCCACTAGTTTAAGATGGTGACCCATATCCTTTTTCTTCACCATCAGCCCACTCCCAAATCTGATATTTCCTTGTCCAATCCCTTAAGGTGCTCCTCATTTGATTTGCTTCTAGTTTCTGCAATACCTAGTTCACGTAGCTGCTCTGATACCATTTGTAATGGTTGGAGCTCAACTTCAACCGAAACTAACTGAACCTAATCAAAATCAACACCAACAATTTAATATACTAAACTGAGATTCAATAACTCAGCTGCCATGTATTGAAATTACACCAAAACAGCAAAATATAAACAGAAAAAAGAAATTGAAATGCAAAGAATGGTGGAGATGGAGAATAATGGAATTAAGTGAAGATGAGAAGAAGAACAACCAAGAAGAAAAAGAGGAAGCAGGAGAACCAGTGAAGAAGACAGCAAAAGAGAAGAAGAAGAGTATGAATAGAATGGTGAAAGAAGAATGGAGAAGAAGGAGAAAGAAAAGCAGGAGGCGGGAAGAAGACGGGTTTGTAACCACGTTCAATTCATCCATATCATGTTTACAATGTTTCAATACAATCGATATAGACCAAAACAATAAAGTGCTTTTGGCTAGCCCACAATAAAACAAGCCCAACTAGATAAAAGTAAATGGGCCAATATATGCCAAGTTAGCCCATGACAGCGACGTAAAAAATGTCAATCCAGCGCACATGTCCGCCGTCTCCGTTGGTGTTGCGAGGCGTTGTACCATGACTTCAAATGAAATAGGATTGGCAAAGCAATTTGTTGGATGATTGGTAAATTCGATATTCGAAAGCAATTTTTGGAGAGTTTTTGGGGAGCTCCAATGAAGCAGGCATTTTGGTAGGGAAGAAGAAAAACCCATTCTCGTTTCAGTTTTCGGGTTTAGAGATTCTTCATTACAAATATAAAATGAATATAAATTTCAATTATTTACGTGGGCATCAATTCCAAAGCAATAACTCAATTCCAAATTATAAATCATAAGCGGTAAAGTGTTTGCAGCAAGCAGATGCCTGAAGATTGCCATCGTTAGCTTCCCACCTTGAAAATTGTCCCCTTGTATTCCTCTAACATACGCTAGTGTGTAATTTCCCATAACCAATAGATCTTCTCCTAGTGTCTCTTGTCCTCTTTCACATCTTGGGTCCCTAAAAATGTTTTATTTTTTATGCCCAAAATGTCATCCACATGTGATGGTGGATTGAAGCTTTGATGTGGTTTTGGTTGAGGAGAGGTGAGGTGAGGTGTGGGGTGGAGTGGGGTGGCGGAAGATGAAGTGGGTGGGGGCATATTTCTTTTTTCTTTCATTTCTTTTTTATTTTTGATTTAATTATTTTAATTAAGAAAATATAAAATTACAATTTTACCATGCACTTAATTGGTCAAAATATGCCAATATTTAAATTTTGTGGTCAATAAGTGGATTTGTTCCAAGTGCAATCTAAAGAAAAGGTTTGGGATCCCGACTGCAATTCTCACTTAATTAAAATATGATTTTACTTTCAAATTAAATTTAACAATTAATTTTAATCACATATTCTATAAAATCCAAAATTTTTCAATCATACTTTTCATCAACTTTTATAAAAAATTTCAAAAATTTTAATCCATACATTTCATCAATTTTTATCAAAATCTATTAAAAATTTGATTTTAATATACACCAAACAAGACCTTTAACACATAATTAATTAGCTTGAGATTGATTTTGTATTTTTATTTCACGCCTAGCATATTCAGAGGGTATCATCCATCCTTCCGGACAAAAGGGGATATTCGATGTTTCATCTTGACAGGGAGACTATTTATGCTTCTAGGTATTAGAGATGGAAAAAAAATTCGACAAGCTCGATAACCATATGGTAGGCAGGGATTACCCATTTAATTAGGTATTCGGATAGGGGACAATGCCCTGTCTTGCCTTAAACAGATAACGGGACGAAAAATTACCCGGTGGGACGAGGCGGAGCAGGGCCTCCCGTTGTCATTCCTACTAGGCTTTTTTGTTTTACGAACTTTCGTGATTTTTGTATTAAGGCACCGTTTGGTAACCATTCTTTTTTTCATTCTCATTCTTCTATTAATTTTCAACCACACATTCATCAATAAAATAATATTTTCCATCACATCAATAACTTTTCCTTCATTTTCAACCACAAAAAAGGTGTGATTTGACACAAAGAATACATTTTTTTCTAGAATAATGGTTACCAAACGGTGCCTAAGTAATCTAATAATTGGGATATAAGGCACGTACACCAACATGATTACTTTTTATGGCTTTTTTTGCCTTAACAGCTATCAAAAGTCAGTCGATGTCAACAATGGAGTATTTCTTTATAAAGAGGTTTACATGCAAACACCTCAAGGTTGATGCAATTACGTATGTCGTCTTAATAAATTAATTTATGAACTGAAGCAAGCAACTTGTAATTGGTTTCTAAGCTACGATACTTTATTTTCAGCCGTATGCGCTCAATTAGAGTGTTCACTATTTCTTTCAACAAACAAGTTTCTCAATCTTTATCTTCATATATGTTGAAGATAATTTGGTAGTAGGTGCCAACGCAACAAAAAATCAAATCTTGATGAAAATGCTCGATGTAAACATCTTGGTTCACCTAAAATATTCAGCTCCTAGGTCTGCTGGAGGGGTCACAAATTGGCCCACTTAAAACTCAATCTCCTAGACAGAACTTCTATGTATTACAACTTTCAGTTTCCAAGATTTTATAAATTTTATCAACGAGCAGTTATTTGTAGAGCAATGGTTTATTAATCGGTCTAATAGAAACAGACGTGTGCAATGGGCATGACACTTGCATGAACAGTCAGCCGCAAGGAAAAAATCATACATACCTTACAATTATAAAAAAAAAATCATTTTCAACTATTATATTAAATAATAAACAGAAAATATTAAATAATCGAAAAATATATATATATCAAAAGTACTGTAACATAAACTTTCCTTATTTTTTTCTATAACTTAAATGTTGAATGAGAATCAAAATGGACTAAATAATTGAAGATGACGAAAATATGCGAATTCAAATTCAATATCAAGCTTGGATGAAGTTTTAATGTCAAATATGGTGATATGAACAATCGATCTCTACCACTGAGATAAATGAAGTTCTCGAAGGTTTTCGTAGTGTACCATATCTATATGACGGTAAAAATCTTGATCTTATTCATTAAGGATTTCTTATTGGGGATTTCATATTCAAGAGTTATAGGTGAACCAGGGAAGGTAAAATTATTTTTTTCATTTCAATTCTTGTTCTCGTTAAATATGCAAACAAGTTCAAGACAGGAGATGGGAAGGCGCTTCCTACCACTTGAATTAAAAATGGAGTCTAATACATCGAAGGTTCGAATTCCCGCAACAGATGGAAAGCAACATCTATGTTGGATGGCAGAGGTCTACATGGAGGAGAACCGTCGAATGTCCAGCCCAAGTGTATATAAGCTGTGCCGCATCCGGATTAACCCGAGTGGCGAACCAGGGGGGAAGACCGTCACTCCTCAGGATTAGTCGGGCGAAACTTGGACACCCGAGGCATAAAAAATAATAATAAATAAATAAATGGAGTCCAATAATCGAAGTACTCCCATTATTGAAAAATTGGGGATTTTGGGCATGATTTGCGGTGGGTGGGTGGGGTGGGGTGGGGGTTGATATATCGTGTTTGGTGGATTAACGATAGCGTTTAATTTGACTAATGAAAGGAGTGATTATATTTATTGATTATCATTTTTACACCATAAATTGTATTGTTTTTGGATTTAAAAAACTTGCAAGGTAAGAGATGAATATTTATTTTAGGGAAAAGTTCATGGGTGAGGTGTTTACTATTCCAAAATTAAAAATCAGGCCCAACAGTTTAAAATTACAAAAATCAGGT